TTATACTGCATGACCCTTTCTGAAAATACATTGTTGAATTCAATTTCCTAAAAATTTATGAAGATATTTTCTAGGTCAAATATCATGAATATCATGAAGGACATTGGTCTGAACCTCTGCTAGGTTTAGAGATCATGGTTGTGATGGCAATTTTCACTTCATGTGTTTTGAATAACCAGTTTTGGTTTCATTGATTTTTCTTTATTGCTTTTTTTACTTCCTTTTTCAAAACTGATTTATGTTCTTTGTTACTTCCTTCCCTTTTCCTAATTGAGTTTAATTTGACTGTTTTAGTTTCTTAAGCTAAAACCATTAGTTTGCAACCATTCTCTACTTTGCTCCCCAACTCTCCATATATAAGCATTTAATGCTACAAATTTCCCTCAAAGCACTGTAACCCGTTTATTTTGACTTACTGTGTTTTCTCTTTTATTTAATTCAAAATGTTTTTATTTTGATTGTGAATTCTTTGAAACATAGGTTATATAAAAGTGTGTTATTTAATTTCCAATTACTTGCAAATTTCCCAGTATTTTTGTGTCTTTGATTTTTAATTTAATTCTGTGTGGTAAGAGAACTTTCTTTGCATGATTTCAGTGTTCTTAAATTTATTGAGACTTTGTTTAATGGCCCAGAATATAGTCTATCTTGGTAAATTCTTCATATGCCTTTGAAAAGAATTTGTATTTTGCTGTAGTTGGAGGGTGTGATCTATAAATGTCAATTAAATCAGGTTATTTGACTCAAGTCAAATCTTCTATATTCTTACTTATTTTCTATTTTTTGTATCAATTACTGGATGAGGACTGTTGAAAAATTATAATTACTTCTTTCAGCTATACATTTTTGCTTCAACTAGTTTGAATCTCTATTATTAGATGCATACACATTTAGGATTGTTATGTCATCTTGATGAATATATTCTTTTCTGTTTTTATCCCTGGTATTCCTGTTTCGAAGTCTACTGTAGATGATATTAAGATAGCTACTCCAGATTTCTTATAAATATTATTTGCAAGATACATCTTTTCCATTACTTTTAAACTATCTATGTCTTTGTATTTAAAGTGAGTCTCTTGTAGAGAATATATTGTTGGATCTTGCTTTAAGAAAAAAATCAAATCTGACAGTCTCTGCCTTTTAACTTGTGTGCTTTAATGTATTTATATTTAATGTACATGTCAATTTTTTCAGCTTAAATCTACCAACTTCTTTCTTGTTTTCTTTTAATTTCATCTACTGTTTTTTCCTTTTTCCTTCCTTCTTTGGATTAAATTTTTTAAAAAATTCATTTTATCCCCACTTGGCTTATTACTATACCTCTGTCTTTTTTTTTTTTAATTACTGCTCTATGCTTTACTTTAAACATCTTTAACTTGTAACTTATAGTCTAATTAAAAATAATATGTAACATCACATATAGTTGTAGAAAACTTAAAATAGTACGTTTTTATTTCCTCTTCCTTTATACTATTTTCCATAATTTTCCTTCTTATTTGTAAACTGTATATATAATATAATGTCATTATTTTTACTTTAAATAGTCTATCATCTTCTAAAGAGATTTGAATGTGACTTTTACCATTTCAAGTGCTCTTTATTCTTTTTGTGGCCCATTTTTTTCTGTCTGGTTTCATTTTCCTTCTTTTAACTTTTCATTTTTTTCATTTTCCTTCTTTTAACTTTTCCTATAGTGCATGTCTGGTGGCAATAAATTCAGCTTTCATCTGAAAAATTTCTTTATTTTCCTTTTGATTTTGAAAAAAAATTTAAGTAAAAGATCTAGGTTGAAAGATTTTTCTTTTGTTCAGCACTTTAATTATACTTTACTTTTCCCCCTCTGTCTTGCATACCTTCTGATAAGAATCCAGTAAACTGGTAAAATCATATAGCCTGTTTTGTTTTCCCTTCTCTTGGTTATTAAAGTCCTGTGCTACTTATTCCAATGTCTAAAAACCATTATTGCATATATTTGTCTGGTTTTCTGATTATGTAAGGTGAGAGAATAAATCTTATCATTGTTACTAAAGGTTGACTAAAAGCTGAGCTCTACTATTCTGACCATCTTAAAGTTTCTATTCTGATTTCATTTTTGAATCATTATAGGCCATTCTTGCTCTCTTGGACTGGCCCACTCCCAATTCTCAGGAGTACACTATCTTTCAGTATTTTTTTTACTTCACTAATAAAGATCTTGCCTTAAAAAAAAAACTACTTGACATTAGATCTGATGATGATTTTTTTTTGACATTTATGATACCAAAAGCACAGGCAACAAAAGAAAAAAATTAATAAATTTGACTTAATAAAAATTTAAAACTTTTGGAGGGCACAGGCATGGGGGCTGGTGAGGTGAGCTGCTGGCAGGCCTGGGTGCATTCTCCCAGGTTCAGCCACAACGTGGCAACTGCTTTTCTAAGGAAAGTGGTTTCTGCCCTGAGCCCCCTCCTCTGTCTAGGAGGTCACTCACTCTCCATGCTCACATCTGGACCCCTGCACACCTCCTCTCCTATCTGTGTGCAGCCCAGAGCATCAGCAGCCTCCAACCTGTCTGCTGGCCCGGTGCTGGACTTGCAGCCAGCTCTGGGCTTCAAGACCAAAGGGGTCCTGAAATGACTGCTACCTGGTGAAGACGCATGGGCAGTAGTTTGTCTACTGCAAGATGAACTGGAAGCACAAGCAAAGACAGATGTAGCCTCTCAGGCTGTGAACTCATGTGCAGAGTTGTGTCCCTGCCTTGAGAAATGGTGTTGTCTCATGGAAAGGACAGCAAAGTGTAAACATTTTAAATTTAAACAAAAATTAAACACTTTAATGCATCAAAGGACACTAAAAACATAGTGAAAAGACAACCAATAGAATGGGAGAAAATATTTGTAAATCATATTTCTGAAAAGTGTTAATATCCAGAATATATAAAGAATTCGTATAATTTAAAAATTTTAAAAATAATTCTACTAAAAAATAGGCAAAAGACTTTAATAGACATTTTCCCAAAGAAGGTATACAAGTGGCCAATAACTACATGAAAAGATGTTCATCATCAGTAATCATCAGGGAAATGAAAAACAAAGTCTCAATGAAATATCACTTCACACCTAAATCCATTAAGATGTCTACTATAAAAACCACAAAAACAAAAATCCAGAAAATAACCTGTGTTGGTAATGGTATGGAGAAATTGGAATCCTTGTACATTGCTGGTGGAAATGTAAAACGGTGCAGCTGCTATGGTAAACAGTGTGTTTCCTCAAAAAAATGATGCATGAAATTAGCATATGGTCTAACAATTTCACTCTGAGATATAAACTCAAAAGACTTGAAAGTAGAAACTCAAACATATTTGTATATCTATGTTCATAGTATCATTATTCACAGTTACCAAAAGGTGAAAGCAATCCAAATGTCCATCAACAGATGAATTGGTAAACAAAATATGGTATGTATGTGTGTGTGTATATATATATATATATATATATATATATATAATGGAATATTATTCTGCCTTAAAAAGAAAGGAAATTCTGACACATGCCACAATATGGATGAATCTTGAAGATATTATGCTAAGTGAAAAAAAAGCCAATCACACACACGCACAAAAACAGAACCCAAAACGAATACTATGTGATTTCACTTATATGAGGCACTCAGTGGAGTGAAATTCACAGAAACAGAAAGTAGGATGGTGGTGGCCAGGGATTGGAGGAAGGCAGGAATCAGTTGTTTCATGCTTACAGAGTTTCAATTTAGTGAGATGAAAAGAATTCTGGAGTTGGATGATGCTTGTGGTCCAACAATATGAACATACTTGAAACCACTGAATTGTACAGTTATGAATGGTTAAATGGTGAATTTTATGTTGTGCATATTTCACCACAGTAAAAAAAAAAATACAGCATTTTGCATTGGACCAGGAGAAATATCTCACTAAAAAAAATTTTTAAAAAATCTATACCCATCCCCATTGAAGACCAATTAAATCAGATTCTGGGGTATCAGCATATATATTTCAGAGTTTTACCAGTGATTCTAATGTAAACTCAGTATTGAGAACTTCTGACTTGAGTTATAGATCTCACTGATGGAAGAATAGTTTCCTGACTTTATTTTTATTTCCTTAATGTTTTTTGAGCTTGGCTATAACATATAAATTGTGTTTAAGGCATTTTTTTTTGTAGGATCTGGCTACATTTTAGTTGGAGGAACCTTTAAAATATAAATTTATAATGTTATACCCAGCTAAACTATTCATCAGTTTTGAGGGTAGAATAAAAGCAGAAATAAAAGCATAACTTCTCAAAAATTCTATCTCCCATTCTTTCTGAAAACAAAAAACAAAAAACAAAAAACTACAGGAGATTGTGTCCCAGCAAAACAAGGCTCTAAACTAAGAAAATGAAAAGAGAGGAACTAGAAACTAGAATAGTCAGCATAAAAGAGGAGCAAAGTGGATTCACAAGATGGGGATGAAAGAAGGACTAGATGATGCAGAGGTACATACGTACGAAGTGCTAGAGAGCCAAACCAGATGAGAGCAGCTGGGGAATAACCACGTGAGGTGTTGACCTTATTTAGAGAGCATTCATCGTTCAGTCAGAGAGTTTGAGAGGAAAGAGCAACACATACCAAGAGAGCCAGGTAAATAAAGAACGAGGCAGTTATTACCTTGGGAAGAACTGAAAAATTTACAGAAAAGGAAACGTAATCATAGTTTGTGGTTCAGATTTGAGAATGTTGTAATTTAACTCTATTTGAAGATCAAAGAGGGGGAATATTTGTGTGTGGCAGTGTAAGAGGGCTCCCTTCTCATCTCCCATAGTAGGAAGCAAACAGATGATGTTTAATTGGTTAATTAAGACAGCAGAATATAAACAAATTATACGCACACAGATCAACACCGGGAAAACCACTGAAGGAGCCGTGACTGTCTTGGCAGAGGAGGAGTGAGGCAGGGCATTGCTGCTTTTCATTGTGAGCCTTTTTGACTTCTAAAATTTTGTTCCAGGTATTCCTCTGGTTGGAGAGATGGTTTTCAAGTCTCGTATACTTGAAATGTATACCGTTGTGCATAAGGATGTATTAGAAGGATGTTCATGTCTGTTTATGATAGTGGGAAAATCACTGTCTACTTGGGGAGATAAATGGAGTGTGCATCTTACATGCAATCATTCTGCCAAGGAAAATAACAGTTGAAGAGACAATAGAAGGAAAACATGTGATTAGTGGCCAGATGGATTATTCAGTTACACGGCTGTGGGAGTTCAGAAGAGGGAGAGGGCCTTCTGGCTGGGAATGGTTTGGGGAAGGAGACGTCTGTGTTTGGCTGGTGAGATGGGACTCTGGGGACTCTGAAGCTGAGGCAGGAGTTATGAAGGGCCCAGAAGAAGGCAGAAGCCCCGGGTCAGGGAAGAGTGGGCATACTTGGCAGGAGAGGAGGGGCTGGTGCTGAAGAGAAGAGATCCAGTTGTGCGGGGCGTTAGGGCTCAGCTGGGAGACAAGAGCTGCGAATGGCTGGTGCCACCTTTTCCACTGCGCAGCCAGCCACGTGTCCTACCCACAGAGCCCTGCAGCTGGGCTCCCTGCCGTGTTTCTCCAGAAACATCTACCTGTACTTTTCCTCTGCCTTTGAGATCAAACATGCAGTTTTGAGGTGGCCAGTAGCCAAGATGAGGCTCAGTGAAGCTGAAGGAGTTGGGATTAGGGCAAGTCTGAGGGCAGGTTCCGTGGTGAGTCTGTGGCCAGGGTTAAAGTTCAGGCTGCGGCCAGGTTGAGGGTTCAGTCTGGGATCAGGGTTGGGGTTTGTCCACAAGTGCAGGTTTCTGATTGGATCCCATTTTTCTCCTGTGTCAGTAACTGTTGCTTAAGTTCATGGATGAATTGCAAATTTTGGCCAGGTCTTCTCATACGCTTTCAGCCTGTCTCTCTGGGCCCCTTCTTTTGGCTTTCTTCCCCCTCCTACTGCGCCACACATGCGTGCATCTCTCCCAGACGTCCCCAGGCCCAGCTGGCCCTAGGTCCCAACCCCTCACCTCCCCCTGTTCTCATTAGCTGAGGTGCAAGTCCTCAGGCAGTAGGTGCCTGGCCTGGGTTGTGAGGAGGGGGCTGAGTGGTGGGAGGTGGGGGGGGGCAGCTAAGCTCTCTGTCCTGCTGCCCACCCCCCCACCAGCGGCCAGTGGCTCTTGTCCCCTTATCATGATCATGTTGGGTTGGCTGCCTTACTCAGTGCCCAGGAATTCCGGCTCACACAATGCCTGGGTGCTTTCGAGGCAGGTTACTGAAACTTTAATCCGAGCTTTCCTTTCATTTCTGACCGCCCCCACCACCAACTGCCATGGTCTCAGCTGGGCCACTCCCTTCCCCTGTCCCCAGCAGACACTCCAGTTAGGTCTTGGAGGAGGACTCCCCATCCAGCACAGCTTCGCCCCCCAGGCTGTCCCTGGGCCAGGTCGGGGTAGAGTGGAGGTATGCTGGTGGGGGCCATGGGACAGGGCAATGTCTCCTTGTCCCACTGCCAACCCCCCGGGTGCATGCTCTCCAGCATCTGGTCCTCGGCTGCCTTCCAGTTTGGCTGCCTTCCTCCTGGCCTTCGTGCTTCAACACGCAGGAGTTTCAGGAGTGGCTGTGAGGATGCAGAGCCCAGCCTGGCACTGAGGAAGCCAAGGAGGGAGGGGCTCATGCTCTGGTTGTCCTTCTGCCTCTCTCAGCTTCTGTTGGCCTTTCTCTCTGTCATCTCTGTTTGCTCTCACTGTGTCCCTGCCCCACCCAGGCCCTGGCCTCTTCCTGCCTCCTCTTGCCCCCTCCTCTTTCCCCAACCCTGTTTCTATCTGTCCCTGTGGCTGTCTTGCTCCTGCTCCATACCTCTGCCTGCATCCCCTCCCGGTCTCCATCCCCTGTCTTGTCGCTCTTCCCTTTCTGTCTGCATCTCTGGCTTGCAGACTTTTCACTCCATCATCACAGATTGGAGGGGCAAGTCTCATCCTCAGTTACTTGGCAGCAGAGACATGACAAATACCTGTTGGTGATGATAATAATTTGAGGGAGAGACCCCCTTCCGCTAACCACTCCCCCACCCAAGTATCCCATTATAGGAAACATCATCACCCACTCACTTCTTGGAGCAAAGGAATTCAAAGCCACAGAATGCTCTCTGAGTTCCTACCTGGCAGGTGCCAGCCCTGTGCTGGGGGCTGGGATGTAAGTAAAGCTGACCTCCATCCTTCAAGAGTTTACAACAGAGTAGAGGTGATGGGGCAGAGGCAGGGGCAAGAACACAAATGCTGGAGAAAAGAATAACAAGATAAGATGAAAGTAATAGTTCAAGGCAATAATTGGAGCCTGTAGAGGAACGTGAAGGCAAATTTCCCCTGCTGTTTTGAGGACTAAGGAGTCAGCATGGGCTGGGGGAGCTTGCAAATCCTGGCAGAGTCCGTGAGAGCCAGGTGGGATCTGTGGATGACCTGAGTGCTTGCAGGGAATGAGGCGGCCGTTCTTGGCTCGGACACGTGAGCAGTGGTGCAAAGGGGAAAACATGCCTGGACAGGGAACTGTATTCAATATTTTGTAGTAACCTATAATGAAAAGAACATGAAAACAAATATATGTATGTGTCTGACTGAAACATTATGCTGTACACCAGAAATTGACACATTGTAACTGACTATATTTCAATTTTTAAAAACAGTGCATGGAGCCAGGGTCCTGGGATGTTAGCCTGCTGAGAACAGATGGTGTTTGCGAACAAATGGGAGAAAAATTGATAGGTTCCTTGAATCCAGATAGTGGATGTATACTTGACCCTTGGGGCAGTAGGGAGGCAAGGTAGCTTCTTGAGCAGAGGGATGCTGGGCCAAGTGACCATCAGGAAGCAGCTTCAGGCCGCTGTGTGCACCCTGCTTCCTCCCTCGGCACATGAGCACCAGAGGGATGCTCATGTGTCGAGGAATGTGATCCACACCCACAAAGGCACCTGTGCAGACCCTGACCTCCACGGAGGACCCAAGTCAAGGCCACCGCACCTGCCTGCAGAGGGACATCTCCAGGGATGAGGCCCTGGGCATATGCCCCGGCAGGTCACGGAAAGGAGTTGTGATGACCCTATCCCCTGTGCTTACGCCCTCCAGTTGCTTCTCATGTGCCTGGAATAAAGCTCAGAATCTGTGCAGAGGTCACAGGCCCTGCCTGGCCTGGAGCTTGGGTCCTGCTGGGTTTCCCCATGGTGGGGTCTTCTCAATATGCTTAGGCTGTCTCCCCACATCCTCTCAGCCCGCTCCCTCCCGCTTCCTCAGGGAGGCTGGCACTGCCCACTGCGGATGAGGTGTGGTCCTGTCCCTGCGCCACACGTAGGGAGCCCTGGCTCCTAGCAGGCATCCTCGGGGGGCGGGAGTGGGGGTGCCTGGCTGCTTCCCAGTGCCTGTAAAGCACCTGGTACTATAAAGGATGACATAGTGAGGAACGCAGCTTCTAAATCCCGGTGTCTCTTGAGTCAGAGGAGCAGCTGGAGAAGGAGCCATCCTTAGAAGCTTCTGGACCGGTGTCCTTTCCATCTTCAGGATATCTGTCCCTTCAGGGTTTGCACCCTCCAGGTGGTCCCAGGAGACCCCCTTTCCAGGAAGCACGCCCCGAGCAGTGCCCTAGTCCTGGTTGCTTCTGTCCCTCAGGAGGAAGTAGATCGAGGACCCAGTGCAGCATCAAGAGACCCAGGTTCCAATTTGCAGAATGGCTGTGAGGTCTGAAAAATTCATATCTTTGATCTGAACACCCTTGGTGTGAGGCAACTGAAGGCCCACCTCAGAGCAGCTTAAACAAGAGGGTTTGGCTGCTCACATAGCAGGGAGTCCTGACATAGGGTGACCCCGGGATGGATGACCTAACAGGCCAACATTCCTCACCCTCAGGACCTGGGGACCTCTCATCCTTCCTCCGCCTAACGCCGCAGTTAGCAGTGTCCCCCTCAGGGGGGTAAATGTTAAAATAGCGTCTCTCCTTTCAATAGTGAGAAACCTTTCCCTTAGATCTACCCCTTCCCTTCGCAGGTCCTATCGACCAAGACTGGGTGACCTACTTGGGCCAGGGGAGTGAGACTTTGTCACCAACTGGCGCTGCTGGCTCTCAGAGGCAAGCCATGTCACACTGTGATTGTCCTGGTGATGGGGTGCTCTGGCATTTGGAGGTGGGGGGCTGGAAGGTGTCCCGCAGCACCTGGGATGGTTCGCATCTTCCATGACTTTTGAATGTCATCCGAGCCATTCATGGAGGTGAAGAACCTTATTTTTATTAGGCAAGCACAGGCCCTCGCTTCATGCTATAGGCGTGTTCTTGCCCAAGCCTTACCACGCAGATTGAGGGAAAATACCTCATGGTACAGAGCTGCCCGCCATTGTGGAAGGTCCCAAAGAACCCGGGCAGTGTGGCTTCACAGGGGGCACGAGTGACAGTCGCCCCTCTGGTCACTGCATTTACTGCTGTCCCATGCATCCTCTGGGGTGGCCTTGCTTGACCATATAACGCCTCACAACACAATTAGCTTATCAGAAATGACCTTTCTTGTGCCTCCTTTATATTAGCTACGGTACTGTGTTGATTTTTTTGTTTCTTTTAAACTATTTCATCTATGGATTTCACTTCAGGATAAAAAAGAGGCTGGCTCAAAATGTCTGTTATCAAAAGAGGGTGTTGGGTTCAAGAGGGTTATGAACTGCTGCCTTAGACAAATAGAGTTTGTCCCTGGGGCTGAGAGGGGGCATCCTCCTTGGGCCCCTGTGATGATAAAGTTCAGGACAAAACTGGGAGTTCCCAGCATCAGAGTCTTCTGAGATCAGCTGGGAAGCTACACTTTCTCCTATGAGGGGTGGGGGGCTCAGTTTGCTCATCTGTGTGAAATGGGTTGACAGTCTCAGCCCTGCTCACCTCCTCCCTATGAGGCTCTAATGCAGGGAACTGTGAACGTTCCTAGAGAGGATAAATAATGATCAAGTAGGAGGGCACTGCTGTGTCCCTGGGGTCCTTTAGCTGTCTTTTTTTTTTTCGGAAGTACTGGTAAGTCTTTTGGCGACATCACTATATGCTATTTCAACCTCCTTATCACTGGGGCAGGTATTGGTGAACTCATCCCTACTATAAGCATTAGTTAAGTATCTCCAGATGCCCGTCATTCCTTTTGGAATATCAAAGTTGTGATATTTTTTGGCCACCACCTTGACAACGTGCAGTTTGGGCAGCAGGTTGCAATCAGCTAGTGTCATTTCATTGCCATCCAGAAATTTACATGTGGAAAACTTAATGTCCTCCATACTATTCTCATCAATTTCATCAGGGAGGGGAGAATTCAGATATTCATCCAGTTTCTGCAGTGTCTTCAAGAGACCCCTCTCCAATGCTTCATTAGCCTCTGGCCTTGAATTCTTGATATATGCAGAGAATTTGGCAAAGATGTCCATTCCAGCAGTATTTGATTCTGGGTGTTTTGGTGAAAGCTTTAAGTACTTGGGAGGGCATAAGACTTCTTCAAGAAATTCTTCAATCTTATTTACATCCGTTTTGACCTCCTTGCTGAACGTTATAAATGGTGGGTGGGTCCCCGGAGCCAAGTTCTGCAGGTCTGCAGGCTTCCTTTTCAGGTCAACAGTTGTGACACTAAACACAACTCCTTTAAGCCAAAGAATCATGAAGAGCCTCTGGGAAAAGGGACAGTTTCCTATGCTTTCACCATCACTGCCAGCCTTGACGAAAAGCTCGATGATGGGCTCTTTGTCCTCCTCCTTCAACCCGTTCAGCGGCGTTGACAGCGCCATGGCCAGCTCGGCTGGGCTCCGCGGACGGCAGCAGCGGCAGCAGCTGCTTCTGCTCTGGGGTTGTTCTGGCTGCGGACTCCCGCCTCGCTGCGCCTCCCAGGACGGTCCCGGAGACTATCTCGCCTCAGCCTGACACCTCAGGTCCTCCTCCTCAGCACCGCCCCACGCCCCGCGCGCGACTCTGAGGCGGCGGCAGCCCGAGCTGCTTCAAGTCGCGGGGCCCCTTTAGCTGTCTTAATTGGCCACTGGTCATGCCCCCAGGAGCCTATGTCCTCACAATCCTGTATGTTAGCCCCAGATTCATTAACACCATTAGCTTCAAACAGAAATGCCATTACCAAAGCATTCAACTCCATCAAAATGTGTGTCTCCCCAGGAGACCAGACATTCTGTTGGGCTGCTCCTCCCAGGGCAGGACTGCCTGCTGCTGGGCCCTGGGTGCTGCAGAAAAGAAACAGGTGGAGATGGTGACATTCCAGCATCAGGACGTGCAGAGATGCTGCTGCTTGGAGTCCACGTTGCTCCCCTGGAATTCCACTCCTGGAGACTTAGATGCTGGCCGTCCACTTCTTCCAGGAGGCAGGGGTGGCTGGGAGGTGGGAGGAGCTTTGGCAAAGTCGCAGCTTGCTCTTGTGGGGTGGGGGTGAGGGTGGGGTGAGTCTCAGTCTTGCAGTCAGAGGGTGGTTCAGAGCGAGGCCGACCACCTGGGTTTAAAACTAATGCCTGGATTTAAATGCAAGAGCCACATATTCATCCCCTCTGTGCCTCAGTTTCCTCATCTATAAATGATGTCATAGCATATCTATCATTGGATTAAAAGAGACCATGGCTAGAAGGCTTCAGAAAGGTGCCTGGCGCAATGTGATTTAGCCATTAGCTGGCTTGTTGCTGACACATGAAGTTCCAGGGCTCAGAGCAGCATGCTGCGGGGGTACCCCCATCCTTCACTGGCCCAGCAGCTGTAGTCTTAGGGGGGATGACTCACAGGTACTCTGGGGGAGCCGCCCCGGAACCTGTGTCTCCCCTCCCAGGCCCCGGGCGGCTGGGCCCGTGTAGTGACCTCAGCCAGGAGGAGTGAGCAGTCTTACAGGGCTGCCTCCCCCTGGGGCTCTCCCAACCCCGCCTTGTACCTGCTCCTTAGCAGGTGACCTACAGGCAGCAGGACTCCAGGGGACACCCCCAGTGACTCACCGTAGGACCTCTCGGCCCCAGCCTACGGCAGCCCACTGCTTATAGCTGATTCCAGCCCCAGCCTCAGATGCTCCACTGACCCTGACTGATGTGTGACCCTGACCTTTGACTGACCTCTGACTCCAGTCATAGACAGACTCCTGGTCTCGGGCTGAGCTCTGGCCCTGGTTGCAGACTGACCCATCTCCCAGACATGGAGGATGGTCAGGGGGCTGCTGGGATGAAGTCTCTCTCTCTGCACCACTTGTCCCTCTCTTCTGATCCCCGAGCTCTGGGCTGGGCATCTGACTCCCTGAAGATGGGGAGTGCCTGCCTCGCCCCCCTTGCTGGGAGTGATCACATGGAGAGGTGACCTCACCCTGGGAGGAGAAGGTGCTGGCTTTGTCCCTTTAGTCCACCTCAATAATGGCCACTGAGAAGCATCCTTCCTCCTGCCCCTCTACCTCCAGCTCCCAGATGGAAGGGACCAACCCTCCACCCGACATCCCCTACTGAGGGGATGTGGCTCCCTAAGAGCAGTGACAGAGCTCCTCCACGTTGGACCAGGTTTCTTAAGGACAGAACTGTGTCTTTTCCACCAGACTGGGGCATCCTCAAAAGCTGGAATTGTGTCTTAATCACCTGAGGGGAATCCCCAAGAAGAGGATAAGAGCAGCTTTGTACAAACTTGGCTTCAAATCTTGACAGCATTCATTAGTGTGTGTCCTTGGACCAGTCTTTTAACCTCCCTGAGCTCAGTTTCTTCACCTGCAAAATGGGGCCAGTGACATTACTTACCTCATGGAGTTGTGAAGGTTAAATAGGCCGAGCTTCAGGAAGCTCTGGGCAGAGCGTGTGGCATGTGTAAGTGCTCAGCGGACGTCAGAGGTCAGAGATACCGTGCTGCCATTGCGTCAGGGCTTCTGCAAGGGCAGGTAGGCTCAGTGACACTGAGATCTTTGCCCCCTGTGACTCAAACCAGGCTTTCCTCACTGGAGAGTGATCAGATGGCGGTGCCTGGGCTGGCTTCCCCTGCCACCCTCAGGGGCTCTGCACCTTCAGGGCTTGGCCCAGCTCCTCCTCAAAGCTCCTCTCTGCCCTTCACCCTATGAAGGCTTCTCCTCCTTGACTTCACCCCTTACATCTACTCATCCACGTTGGGTTGCTGGCCCAGCCCAGCCTTTCCAGGAAGCCTCCTGGGTTCATGTTTGCCACGGCCCAGGTCTCTAAGGCTAAGTCACAAAATCCAGGGCTAACCCACCACGGCTGCTGGCCTTGCCGTGATGATCCCTGGCTGCCTGGCTCTTCAGAGCCAGTGAGTATCCGGGGCCTGGCCTGCCCCTCCCTCCACAGATCCTAGGGCAGGGCTGGGGCAGAGGTGGGGCGAGTCCTCTGAACAAGAGCCACTGTGCTGGGACATCTCTGTGGCAATTATGACCCAAACAACTACCCAAACTCCCCTTGGGAGGGTGTGGTTTTTTTTCTCTCTCTCTCTTTTCAATTCAGTAAATCAGCTAAGTCACTTTGAATCACTCCAGTTGGCCACTTGGGGCTTTCTCCTTAGTGAAGCCTGATTCATTAAGGCAACAGGACAGGTGCCAAGGTCAGCCATGAGTTCATGGACTTGGGGCATACTTCCTGTGGGCAGGCCAGGGAGCCCTGCCCACAGACCATTGCTCAGGAGAAAGAAGAGCAAGGCAGGCACCCCAATTCATGCCCCAGGACTGACCTCTGGGGAACGGATCAAGAAAACAAGGATGTGATGCCCCATGGGCTCACTTTGTCAAAGCAAGGTGTGAACTCAGGCTGCCCCAGAGACAGAGGCATCCATTTTTTTCAATCAGCCACAAGCATTCTTCAAGGATCTCCTAGATGCCAGGTTTAGGGGGAAGATGAAAAAAAAAAATGATTCTTTGATTCCTGGAGACTCCCTTTTCACCTTGGCTACTAGGGAGCTCAAATATTGACTTAGTCCTTAATCACAATGATCTGTGTCAACCTCTATGTTTGACATATTTGTGTCTTTTTCCTCTTGAATTTTTATGTATTATGATTATTATTGTCTGCTCATTGCAGCATAGTAGTATGCGTGTATTTTATTATAAGCTACCTTAAGCCCTATCTGGAAGTAAGTAGAGTATAAATGAAAAATCAAATAGTAGGGTCCGGAGGAGCTCACAGACCATTAAAGGGGAGTCGTGGGAATATCCTGTATCTTTTCTTTTCAATTGGAGGTAACCTCAAGCTAAAGGATGTGTATAAAGTGAATTTTCTGGGGCTTGAGGGCCTGGAAACAAATTGTGGAGACAGCCCCCAGCTGTGGTTGGCCCAAACTGTGGCTCTCTGTGGCAGGAAATGATTCGGGTTTAGAGAGGAAAGCCCTGACTTTTGACCCCAGCTCTGGGACCCAGGGCAGCCCCTCTTGCCCCAGTGGGCCTCGGTCTTTCTGGGTGTCAAGTGGGTATGAGGTGGGGTTCGACTTTGCCTCTCATGGGGCTCCTCCAGTGAATGGATTTGAACAATTTCTCTGATCAGAACCGGTTTGCCCACTGTTCTTGCTGCTGAGAAGGCCCTGGGAGGGTTTGCTCAGACTCCAGGGCTACAAAGGTCCCCTACCACCAGCTCCTAGAAGAGGAATCTGTGTGTTATAAGAATGGCTGTTCCTGGTGCCAGAGAGAGACCCACTCACCACCTGAGACCTGGTGCCCTCTGGCTGCTGCCTCCCGCACTGGCCTGGACCCCTCTATGTCACATTCCCAGCATCCTGGTGACCCAGCATGTGTGTGGAAGTCTCCCGACTCTCTGGGGCAGCAGCCTGCCTCTCAGCGTGGGGGCGCCCTCCCGAAGCCGTGAGCAAGTGGAGCTTGTGAGCCAGCTGATGGGAGCTTCCAGGGGCATCGCCAACCTGGAAGCGGGCTCAGTGGGCCCTGACCCGCCCGCCTCCCAGTGATTCCATGCAGACGGCATCCCGGCCACAGTCAACACGAGCACGTGTTCTGTGCCACCTGCTCGGTTGAACACCTTATTTATTCCACACAACAGTCCGATGAGAGATACCATTATCAGCTTAATTTTACAAATAGGGTAACCGAGGCACAAAGAGGTTGGGTCACACCGTTAGAAAACGGTGAATTATCAAAGTTGTCCGATAATTGCACTTTGTGGACTTTTATTCATGCATTCCACAGGTGTGTATTGAGTTTGTACCACGTGCCAGGTGTTAAGGGTCCATGAATGAATGAAAGAGACTAGAGGCCCCGCCCACCTGAAACAGACATTCCAGATCGGGGAGACGGGGCATCAGCAATACACACAGTAGACAAGGAAATGATGTAATACAAGGAAATGATGTAAGAGGGTCGTAGGTGGTAGGGAGAAAAATAAAGGAGAGTAAAGTGGACCAAGGATGCTGGCGAGCAACACAGTTTCAGTGGGATGGCCAAGCAAGGCCTCGGGCCAGGGAAGACTTGAAGGAGGAGCCACGTGACCCTCTGGGAGAAAGATACACATGGGCCCTGAGAGTGAGGCTGGCGCGTTAAGGACAACAGGGGGCGAGTGTGGCTGGAGGGAGGCTGAGAGGCTTGAGGACAGAGAGAACATGGGGGACACTATGTGTAGGTCCCCAGAGGCCATTGAAAGCCATTTATTTTTCCTTTTCCAAAACCTACTTGGTTTTATGACGTGAACAGGAGGGTCGGGGCTTTGGTGTCTGCTTTGAGAACAATGCGCAGCCTTGGCAGAGGTCTCAGCCCGGAGGGACCTGATGTGACTTGACGTTTACGAAGGGCCTCTGACTGCAGTGCGGAGAGCAGACAGTAGGGGACCAGGGGCCCGGCCCGTGCAATCATCCAGGGGAGCCCCTGGGGGCGGGTCCGGCGAGGAAGGAGAGGTGCAGTGAGAGGCAGTAGGATTCTGGATCTATTTTGAAGGTGGAGCCAGAGGATTTGCCCCTGGATTGGGTGAGGGTGCGAGGGAACCAGGTGAGTCAAGGTTTGTGGCCTGAGCGGCTTGTAGGATGAGTTGCCTTTTACTGAGTTGCCAGGAGGAGAAGTTTCATTTTTGGGTTTGGGGGATGATCCAGAGTTCAGTCCCGGGCGTGCTGAGTTTGAGCTGCTGATGGTACATCCTGGGCCGAGCTGCTGAGCCAGCGGCTGGCCCTGGAGTGTGAGGAGAGGCCCAGGCCGAGGCCTTGTCTCCGGGTGTCCCGGTGTCAGAGCTTCGGGGCTGCCAAGGAACGGGAGCCGTGCAAGGTCAGGCCACTCGCAAGAGGTGAGGGGCAGGGCTGGGACCCTCACCCTGTGCCATTCCCGGGGAGAGGAGCTCCGGCCTCCGCCACCTCCTGGCGACAGCCAGCACGGGAAGGGGCTGGGGCTGACAGGGACAGGGAAGGGAATTGAGGCCCAGGTGACATGCCTGGGCCGGTGAGGACAGGCAGCAGAGCGAGACCCCAGGCCTCCCTGACGCAGGGTTCAGAGATGTGTGCATGACAAGATAGCACCCGTGGAAACGCCCTGACAGGTCTGGAATGTGGGAGTGAGTGTGGTGGTGATTATTATTTGCCCCATCGCCTGGCTAGGGGCACATTTCAGCAGAATTGCCCTCTCACCCAGTGAGCTCTGGGGACCGGCTCACGCTCTTCCTGCTGGGAGAGGCCCAGGCCCCTGGGTGGGGGCCCCACACTCAGTCCCTGCCTCCCTGATTCATTCCAGGTCTCCTGGAGGCCTGAGTCACTTTCTTTCCAGGCGAGAGCTGCTACCTGTTTGGCAAATCCCTGGATTCTGGGGGGAGGAATGGGAACTAGAGGCTAGAGTTTGTCATGTGTATAGGTGAGGCGGGGAGCCACCCACATCTGCCCCAGATCCCTGCCCCAGCCTGAAATTCACTCCCTTGTCTGTCCAGCCAGCCAGCCAGCCATTCCTGGGTAACCATCTCCATTCGGGTACACAGTATTGTGCAGGTAACAAACCCTTTCAAATTGGTCTGTTTTGCAGATGAGAAGATTAAGGCTCAGAGGAAGGAAAAGGCGGGTTCCAGAGCGCCCAGCTGGTGAAGCGGCCTGCCGGGGTCCAACCCCAGCTTGTGCGACCCCAGGAGCTCCTCCATCGACAGTCTCCACTGTCCCTAAGTCTGGCTGCCATTTTCCAACTTGGCCCAGATTCTCTGCTCTGGGAAGCAAGCTGTGACCTTGGGGAAGTCTGTCGAGTCACCCTGAACTTTGGCTGATGGGAAATGGAGACAGGGGCCCGCGAGGAACAGCCTCCGGGATGGCCGTGCAGCAGGGCTGGGCAGAAGCGGTGGGAGAAGTTCTGGCGGGCGGGTGCTTAGCAGCAGCTCCGTGGAAGCAATCGGAACATCACAGAAGAAGGCAGCTCGGTAGAAGGCGTTCTGGGGAGGAAAGCAACCAGAGGAATGGAATGAATTGTATTCAGGGGCAGGGATCATAGGGCGTGTGTATGGAGTCAGGGAAGGTCAGATTGCAGAAGTTTCTGAATGCCTTTGGAATGTCCTGGGCCTTTCTGCTGAGGGCCTAAGGCGCCTCTTCCTCCAGGAAGCCTTCCTGTGTTAACCCCGCTGGTTCCTCAGCCCTAGCCGGCTCTCCTTCCTTCCCTGGCATAGCCTGTACTTAAGAAGGAAAGCACGAAACTTCCTGGGTCATGCCCTGTCTCTAGGGAACAGGGCATGGCGCACCTCACCAGGCACCCACACAACTGAGAGTTACCAGAGACTTTCCCAAGAAGGAGCAAGGCTCAGAAGGAGGGCCAACCCCACGACAGGTGTATTGTCTTTTACCTGAGGTGTATCCAGAAGTCTCTCCAAAGATCCCCAACCAAATGTCATGGTGCCTGGAATGCGCGCAGTGGAGATTCACCCTTTGGGCTAAGGCACACCCCCTTATGACAGGTGAATTTCCTTGAGAAGGGTATGGCTGTTCCCATGGCTGGTAATGTCTTGGTTTAATACTTTCCTCCCTGGGTGGGTGGTGAGGGTGGGATGGGGGAGCAAAGGAGAGGAGGGGTGGCCTGAGAATCCCACAGGAAGGCAGGTGGCAGAGGCACCTCAGGCCACCTCACACCTGTGCTGTGGGAGGACTGGGTTCATTCAGAGGCCTCCCAGTAATCCCTCCCCACGTTTCACCAATGCTCCAGCAGCTAGGTCAGCTTCTGCCCTCTTTCAAGGAGACTCTCGGACGGCGTTGGGCTCCCTTGTTACAGGGAGTGTAGGGGCTGATTTAGGGGAGGCTTGGAGCCCAGTTCTCCTTAGCAGGCAGAGCTTAATTCCGGGAAAGCAAACAGGACACCTGTCAGGTAGCCAGTCTGTAGAGGGCATAAAAGAGTCAAGCCTGCGACCCCATCCGTAACCGCCCAATACAGATTAGCTCCACTCCCACGGAAACGGACAGTGCCCTTGGGCAGAATTAAAAGCACATTATGCCCGTCTATCCTGGCCGTGTATTTTTGCAATAAGTATGCACAAGTTGCATGGTGCATTTACACGCCACGCCTCTCACCTGGGACCCAGCGTCAAAGCTGCCATCAATTAAAATCTTGCAACCACGTGTGGTGCACACGGCCCTGCTTTTTGGGAAGGAGGGATTTGTTTTGTCATGTAAGATTAAAGGTTTTGACCTGACCTTTAACAGCAGGTCGGGTTTAGAAAAAGGAAGTCTGAGGAAAGGAAGGACATGGCCAGTGGACGACCATGAGCCAGAATAAAAATGATGTTTCAATATATTGTGAATAAGACGCAGTAATCTTATGTATATAAGTTAGAGGGTGTGGTTAACCGTCACCAGTTATAAATAATAGGAAGATGGGGAAATAAAGGCAATGCCAAGTAAATTAAATTATATTGCATTTACTGCAAATAGTTGATTTCCTATTCTGAACATAAAGAAAAAAGGATGTAGTTCATATGAATTGAAAATCTGTTTCTTCAGTTCCACTGAATGAAACTAAAGAACAAAATGTATAATGGTTATTGGGACATGACATTATTAGCTTTCTCGGGTGGACTGGGTGCCCTGTTTTTCCTTTATGAGGATGGCTGGTGGTGGAGAGGCTGCTTGTGGGCGATTGGAAAGCCATCATCTGGGAATGACACAGTCCCCATTTGTGATAGGGTAATGCATGCGCTTCTTATTCATGCTTTAAATAACAAGGTCCAGCAGCAGGTTTAATAATTACTGAGATTTCAATTTAGAGATAAGCACTTACAGTATTTCAGGGTATTTTCCCAACCAATGTGGTATGAAAATATCTGATTTGTACTGGGGACAAAGTCACAGATACTTTGGTTCACTTCTGTGGTTTGTGGCCTACAAGCATAATTAAAAGAATTCAGTTAGGGGTTAGTGAAAATAAAGGTGCAATTTTTTTCTCCATTCAATTTCCAAACCCTCTACATTGTATTCATGGATTCCCAGGGGGTCTAGGGACCCAAGGGTAAGGATCCTGGCCTCTGAAGCTCCGTCTCAGTCCCAGTTCACTGGGCACATGCCCGGAGAGTGAGGCTTTGGGGCTCAGTCCCCCTCTGACCCTTCTTCGGTGCTGGTATCTTGTCTACCCTGTGTCCTGCCTCCCCACATTCTCCTCTGGTGGCTGCTGCTCATGGCTTTGCCCACATCTACCTGCTTCCACATCCTCTCTGACTCGGGGACCCCGGTCTGGCCTGCTGCCCAAGCCTCCTGACTGGTCCCCTGCTCCTCTCCACTGGCCTCTTGGTGGTGGGATGGAGAGATACCAGTTCATCATGTCACCCTTTGCTTAAAATCCGTCAGTGGCTTCCCAGTATACATAAGGTAGGAACGAGAGGCAGACCTCAGCTCCCAGGGTCTGGCCCTGCTATCCCCCCACGCCCACCAGTCTCATCTTGCACTGACCCCTTTCACTTCTTGGCTTCTGCCCAGGGCCCGTCTGCCCCACTCACCTTTAGCTGCTCCCTCTGCCTGGGGCGCTCCTTGGTCAGCTCTCGGTCAGACATGACTTTCTCCAGGAACCTTTCTGCTCTCTGCAATGCTCCTGTTCCACTCTGGCTGCTCCGCTCAAGGCCAAATTATTAGAACGTGCATTTTCTCTCTCACACCGGGAATGGGTGGAGGTCCTTTAACATGACAAGGGGGGACTCTGGGAGCTTCCAGCGACCTGGGAGGACTGAGGATCCCTGGGAGAACCCTGGCTCGAGGCCTGTGCTGACTTCAGGAGCTAACGCTGTGCTGGGAACCCCCGGCCACTGGCCTGCGGTGTAGGGAGGGAGCAGGCCGCCCTCCCACGTGCGGCTTCCCCAGTGTGGGCTCTGCTTGCAGCGTGACCTTTCGTCCAACGCCCCTAATGCGGTCGCAATTTTACTTTCCTTCGATGAATTTCATCTCCCGATCTAGACTGTAAGTTCTGAGGAGGCCCAGATGGTGTCCGTGCCTGGCCCCTCACCTGTGCCTGGCACACAGCAGAGCTCAGCAGCTGCTATTGACGGAATGTGTGAGTTCTCCCTTTCCTGCGGACGGGAAGAGCCTGTGCATGCTCACGCTCCCCTGGCCCCTTCGGAGTCTGCACACTCTCAGCTGGGCTTATGGGTATGTCCCCACTCACCGGCTAAGTCATGGCTTACTCGTCTTGTAGGAGGGTTGCCGGTGACTCAGACCCGGTGCGGCTGGGCCCGGCTCAGAGGGAGCTCCCTGGAGACAGAGTAGGAAACGTGCTCAGGAAACGTGTGCCGAGTTGAGTGTCAGCCAAGCTCGGAGACAGAGGGTTGGGCAGGATGGCCTGGTTGGAGGAGGGTGGGCCTTCAAGTGGAGGGAACAGACAGGCCAGGTGCCCGAGGTCAGGGTTCGATTTGGGGTCAGTCTCAGGGGAAGGTGCCGGAGAGTCCGAAGGGTTCCACACCCCGTGATCTGGGCTGGGTGCTCCAGATAGGATCCCGGCACACCCCCGGCGGCCTGCCCCCACCTGCTTCTGGGGCGGGGGCAGCAGGTGGGGCCCACTTATCGCCAACCGGGCCAGCGGGCGGAGCTGGCCTGGCTCTGGGGAGGTGGCAATCATGCAGGCACTCCTCAGCAGAAAGTCACCTCGTTGCGCAGCCCCTTCCTGGGAATGAGAACTGAAAAGACCTGGGAGACACAGGGCCAGAGGGCCGCCACCAGGCGTTGGGGTCTGTGGAAGGTACTCAGGGTCCTCTCAAACTGGGGGCCAGTGGCCTTCTCTCTGCAGGACATGCAGAGGGACAGGGCTCAGGCTCGATCAGTCCTGGGCTGTGTAGATCTTGGCCTTCTGGGGTCTCGGGAAGCAACTGCAGCCTCCTTCTAGGCCGTTTGGGGAGGGTCTCTAAAATCACCTCTAATCAGTAGGCCTAGACCAACTTCAGTTACGGTCCCCGGAGGTCTCCTAGGCCCCGACCTACATGTGACAGTGCCCTTGGCCAGGGTCAGTTTCGGGGCTGAGTGCCCTGGGTAATTCTTTAGGGGGGCTGTGGTCGCTCACTTCCTTCTGGTCAGGGTGGGCAGGCTGAAGCCTGTCTCTATCACTTACTAATTAATTTCCTTAAACACAAAAACCTTTACATAAGCCTCGTGGGCATATCCTCAGAGCATACGCTGGCATGTATTTTCCCACACATCTTCACAAATGAAGGCATGCTCTCGCATGACCACAGCCGTAACCAAGCTCCCGTGCACCAATGCAGAGACTCCACGCAGAGGCGCACGCATGCGCCTCGCAGCCTGGGCAGCCTCCACGTGCAGACGCCGACCCCAGCCCTGTGCGGGGCGGTGGGCAGCTGTGCCAATTTCCTTCCAGTCCTTTTTCTACGCACTTAAGACACGTACTTCTGGTTAAACTCTTTGTACAATTCCGTCTCTCAGGTCACGAGATACTTTTTATAAACATCATTTTGAAACATTGCATAATCTACTATCATAGGGGCGGACCATAATTGATCAAGACCAATCTCCTATTATTGAACATTTAAGTCATTTTCAGTTTTTCACAAGACTGTGCATAAATCTTTCTCCACCTAACAGATGATTTCCTTGGGCTGAACTCCCACAAGTCACAATACTGTCAAAGGGTAAGATTTTTTCCCCTCACTTTTATTGATACGTAATTGACATATAGAAGGGTAAGACTTTTTTTTTAAAGGCCTTTGATAAATATTGCCAACATTCCTGAGCTGGTCAATTTATGTGCTCATTGTCTCATTCCCTTGCCAAAACTAGATACTCTTATTTCAAAAATTGTTAATTTCATGTACAAAAAAACTTTTTTTGGTCCTTCTTTTAATTTGCATTTGTGGATTATTAATGATGACAATCATTTTTCTGTGTTTGTTGGTCATTTATTGTTAGGGCAAACATGCCCAGTAAGGAATGTACTTTATCTGTTAAGAGATCACAGGGAGACATCTGAGAGCCCAGGAATTGTGAGACAGGAGGGAAGAGGGCAGGGCACAGCCACGCAAGGAAAGACAGCAATTTAACACCAAAATGGTGGAAGAGTCACCAAAATGGTGGAAGATTCAGCTCCCAGTTGGCCTTGAGGATTAAGCGGTTTGATTTCTAACAGACCTTGAGCTTCAGTAGATGCTCATTGTAACAGCGTGATCAATAACATGCCCGCAGGCGCCATGACAGCCCCCAGGCTGACCGCAAAAGGCCAAAGAATGGGCGGTGGCCCAGTTCCTGGGGACCCCAGCCCCTTCCCCAGAGTAGTTGGAATGGTCCCACCCGTAGGTGTGTGAAGCTACCGAGCCCATAAACACTGGCGACACCACGCCTAGCAGCCTTTCTCGCTCCCTCCTCTTTGGAGACGGCCTGCACTCTGTCTGTGGAGTGTGTTCCTACTTTTACTTTAACCTGAGCACCCAATTCCCACACCTCTTTCCCTGCCTTTCTCTTGCCTTACATTCTATGCAGTGTGTGTCTCGCTAAATAAATCTACCTTTACTCATCTGTGGCTCACACTTGAATTCTTTCCTGCACAAAGCCAAGGACCCACACCTGCGGGGCACGTCCCGGGGCTCAACCGAGACCTGGGACACGGCCCTCCTCATGCCCCACATCCGATTTCCTGCAGCAGTTGGACTTGGAAGGATAGCCGTCTTCTGTTCTCTGGGATTCACCTTTGGGTTGCATTTTAAAACACTGGGATAAAGACATAAAAGAAAAAAAATTGTTTGTCTTTTTCTGTAGCACCGCCTGGCCACAATACCAGTTCCCAGCTCAAGAGGCTTGGCCTCTTAATGTAACTCTAAATTATAACACCATGTACCAGCTAAATTCTTTCTATCACAACTTGGGCAAATGGTCTGAGGTCTCATATGTCCAAGCCTTTGTGGCTCTCTCTCAAAACTTAGATCGGTTCTGTAAGACAGTGTCTGATTAGAACTTGTACTGGTCCATCTGTGATGGCCACGCATGCATATGTTTTGTACCTGCATTCTGTCTTGTGAAATGGGAAATTCTGGTTCTATTCCACCATGAAGCCCTCTTGGGCAAATTCTGTCTGGCTGGAAAGATTTTAGTTACTAGCGTATGACTAAGATAAAGATGGTATTATAATAATATTCTTTACACACCAGAGAAGATTGGTTTAGTGAAGCTGTTTGAAAATTCCCAAACTGGTTCTTTTTGCAAATGCAGTTCAAAAAAAAAAAAACTAGCTTGATACTTTTGCAAAATTCTGACCCTGAGGGAACAAAAACATTCCTAGGAGAAAAGAGATGTGAAAAGAGACAAAAAGCAAGCCAGATACATGGCTGCCACCATTGCTCATTCATGCCAGGATCAAAGATGTGGCTCCAGAAATAATCTAAAGGCCACCAATCCTTTCACCGCTCCTGAAACCTCCCCTTCTTATCTTAAGACACTTGTGAATATCAGGAAAAACCCTTTTTCTGGTCCTTAAGGGAACAAAGTCATTCTAGGAGGAACTTGCCTTTGAGATGCAAACGTTCTTGGTCATCTCTAGGAATCCTTACCTCACCATCTTTTTAAAACGCAAATTTCAAGAAAGGGTGATAAGTGATTTGGAATTGGACCTGTTAAGGACAAATAGAAATCTTGTCTCTTTTCCATAAATACTAGTGAAAAGGATTTCGCCATCTAGATGACTTTGATTTGTTCCATTTGCCAGAAACCCAAATTGAATCCAACCTCTTTTTGTAACTGGTGGGTTTTACATCCTTGTGCGCAATTCCTAGCTAAAATGGAAATGGGAACTATGAGGTCTCTGTGTTTTGTGTGTTTGTACGTGTGTCATAGATATATGCACAATCTTATGCAGAGTTAAAGTTAATCCAACTGTTAGGTTTATGGTCAACTAACCTATATCCAGTACTTCTGGGTTACTGTGGTGGATTTCTCCACTCTAAGGGTCTAATTGATAGTCTCTTAGGAAATGTATTCAAAAAGAAAGAAATTATAGCTCCGTTCAGGCCCCTAGTGTTGCCAAAAGTTCGACCCCCATCCCTGATGAGTCAAATCGAAACTCAGACAGGGTCTTAGAACATAGAAGGAAAGAGGCAGCTTTATTACTTTGCCAGGCAAAGGGGATTCACAGCAAGCTAGTGCCTTGAAAACTGTGACCCCACCATGGGGATGGGGCACAGTGGTTATATAGCCAGAGTTCAAACAATAAAACATTGATAACAATCAACAGAATCGTTTGCTGGTCATAAGACTTAGAGTGGCTTCATGATGTCTCCAGGCGACCAATTCTATAGAGGCCAGTGGTGGTCAGTTGCTCCATCTCTTTATCTCATAAGTGCTCTTGGCCTGGTCTTTTTGATAATTTAACTTATTTTGTAAGGTTACAGTTCCGTGACTTCCTCCCTGGAGAACGACTCAGAGACCAAGCATGATTATTGCTTTCAATTGCTGAAATAAAGTAGAAACAGTAAAATTAACAGCTTTAGTTTTAACAGTGGGCCTGGAACTGTGAGTAGCAATCGGTCAGTCAGGTCAG